ATGTCGCGCGCGGAGGCGTCGCGCTTGCGCAGGCTACCAATTCGGTGTGGACGCGCGGGGCGCAGCCTACACCGGTTGTTTCACTGGAAGAAGTTGCCGGCGCGGGCGCTCCCGCGGTGGGCGGGGTGCAAGCCCATTTGTCGAAAGGCCCCATCGCGTATCCGTCTTTGCTCCCGCGCGCGCGCGTTAAAAAAAAAAAAATCTGTCGCGTTGTAGGAGAGCTTGACGCTGGCGACGTGCAGAAAATAGAATTTATCAACTGTGCAATGAAGGACGGATTTCACATCGCGCCATCGCGCGGGATTGAGGAAGACGTTCGCTGCGCCATAGAGTGGGAAGCGTCCAGAGACAGCGTAGAGGTTATGCGTCTGCGCGACAATATGCTATCACGCCTGGAAGCGTGGGACAAGCGTTACGACGTGACGGGGCCGTCGAGCAATGGTTCGCCGGCGCTGACGACGCGACGCGCGCCGTGTCCGCCGACGTGAATGGGCCGCTTTAGCTGCTCTGCTCGACATGACGAGCTACGATGACACGGCCGCGGCTGATCTGTTCCGCTGCGGCGCGCCTTTGCTCGGAAAGCTGCCCCATGCGGGCAGAGGGCCCGCAAAGAAATTCCCGGAGCCCACGTCGTCCGAGGAGTTGCTGACCTCCTCCCCCGTGCACAATAGAGCCATTTTGTCTTCCTTGCGAGAGGACGTGAACTCGGCTGCGATCCACGAGGGCGCGCTCGCCGATGCGTCTCTGTCGCGGATGACCGCTCCGGTTGTGCTGGCCAAGGCGGACTTGGGCAGGGTGCGTCTGTCCCCGCGTTTCTCCATTGTGCAGGGCGTCAAGCCGGATGGCGCGCCCAAGGTTCGCGTAGTAGACGATGAATCGAGAGGGGGCATCAACTCGGCGTGCCAGCCCGCCGAGAGGTTGTTGCTGGACGGGGCTGACGTTTTGGTGGACGCCCTGCGCTGCTATCACGGTCTGCGCGGGCACGCACCGGCACTGTTTAAGGCTGACGTCGACTCCGCTTACCGGCGTGTGCCTATCGCTCCTGAACACAGGCTCGGGATTTCCGGGTGCCCCCCCCCCGTTAAAAGCATCGACCTGGGGGCTCGTGTCGGGGTTCCAGAGGAACCCGGCGTTTGCGGTGTCGATGTCGGCCTTGCCACAGGTGGGCAGCTTACAGCACGTATTTGCACGACGGAGACATTTGGGTCACTGGTCACCTGGCGTTGATGTTCGGCGCCCTGGCTGCCGTCTTTGGGTGGGGCCGAGTCGGAGCTGCCTTGGCGCACCTCGCCCGCAAGCTCTGAAAGATTCCCACCCTCCGATACGTGGACGATTTCTTTGGGCCGTGCGCACCCGCAACTAAAGAGCATACCATGGCATCGCTGGCCAGACTAGTGCGCCTGCTCCTAGGTCCAGGAGCGGTTTCCGATAAGAAGCTGGAATGTGGCGACGAGCTGGAGATTTTGGGCCTGCATGTGTCCTTTTCTCTCAGCGGGATCAACTTGTTTCCCGCGCCCAAGAAGGTGCGCAAGTGGCTTTTCTTGATCAAGCAAGCGCTCGACTGCGGGACACTATGTGCCGGCCAAGCCAGCAAGCTGGCCGGCGCTCTCAGCTGGGCAGGTCAACATTGCTTCGAGCGGCTAGGGCGTGCGATGTTGCAGCCCCTGTTCGCGCAGCAGAATGCGCGACGGGGTGTCGTTCGCGCCCCGCTCAACTTGGCGCTGTCATGGTGGGCGGAGGTGCTGGCCCTCGGCATCCATCAGTCCAAGCCGTGGGCGCAGCTGGAACGGCAAGAAGTGCACTTGTTCGCTGACGCAAGGGGCGGGTCCGATCCACGGCTCGCCGCCGTGCTGTTCGTCGATGGTCGCGCCTTCTGGTCCGACGCCCCTCCAGACCAGGAGCTGCTGGAGGACTTGGCGCCGCGCCGGGACTCTCAGATTATGGCGTTAGAACTGCTCGCTATAGCGCTGGGATTAGCTACCTTTAGTGAACTGCTGGCGGACCGCCGAGTGGTGATTTGGTCCGACAATGTGGGCGCAGAAGGGGCAGTGCGGAGCGGTCGCGCTTCCGCTTGGGACCACTCCCGCATCATTCACGCCATGTGGTTCCTCATCGCACGCACCCGGTGTTCGCCGTGGTTTGCGCGGGTCCCATCAGCAGAGAACATCGCCGACCTTCCGTCGCGGGAGGAGTACGAGTTGCTACGTGTTCTTGGGGCGAACTTCGTGACGCCGCGCTTACGCGCGGCTGAGTTCTTCGCACCGGAGACGTTTCTGGCCCGCGCTCTGCCGGCGGGAGCGCGCCGTCGCGCGTCGTCGCGCCCCGCGAGCGCCGTTGCGCATCGAAGGCGGCACGAAGCAACGAAGGCGAGTGAGCCGCTGTCCCGCGTCGAGCCCGTTGCGAGCCATGCCTCGCGCGTGCCTTGCGAGGGCGGCCCGCGCGAGTTGATGCCAAAAGCCGACAGTGGAAGCTGCGTCGTTAACCGGCCCCATCGATGGGCGCCTGGTCGGTTGTCCTATGCGTCAGCGCGCGGTCCCAGCGCAGCCAGCGACGGGCGCTCAGTCGAGCGATAAGCCATGGCGTTGTTTCATGAGGTCCGCGGCGTCCTGCCAGAGCTTTCACCCATGGTTACCTTTGCGTTGATCGAGTTGCTGCGGCGCCAGGACATAACGCATCTCAGAGATCTGCAGCTAGCGCGCGTCGATTGGTTCGAACCGGTGTCTGCCGCAGAAGGGGAACGAGGCGTCAGCCCTGACGCCCTGCGCGTAGCGCTGTCAGAGTTAATTAACGAAGCGAAGAAGCCATCTGCCGTCGTGCGCGGCGCAAAGGACGAACCTCCGCCTGCACCCGACGTGCATCAGCGCGAGTGCCGCAGCCGCAGTCGCCCTGCCAGGCGGCGAGCTGCCAAGTGCGATGAGCTTTCGGCGGCTTGCGGTGCTGTGCGGGACCTTGAGCTGGCCGTCAGCATAGCGCGCCAGTGCACCATCGAGCCGCGCGCGGGCCCCCGCCGTGAAGTCGAGGCCCTGCGGCAGGGCCTCGCCCAGCGAAGCTTCAGCGAAGGGTCGAATTCGGCTCGGGTCGCCGCGATTCTGGGCAGCTGCCCGAAAACGTGGCCCAGCGTAGTCAGCGCCTTCCGCTGCTGGGCGACTTTCGCCATGACCGTGCTCGGCTGCGACGCGGGGGAAGTGATTCCGCCGTCGCCCGAGGGCCTTGCATTGTGGAGCACATGCTTCCGTTGTAAAGGAACATTCGACAACTATATTTCGCTCGTCAGATTAGTCTGCATCCTGTTGCGCGTCCCGCTGGACGCGCTGAGCGACCCGGCAGTCGAGCGCGCGGCTCGCGCGGTGCAAGCGCGAAACACTTGGCAGGCCAGGCCCAAGATGTTTATTCGGGAGGCGCTCCTCACCAGATTACTGAAGCATCTCGAACGCAACCAATCGGGGCGCGAGCTGCAGATGCTTTTCTTGACGGCGTACATATTCCTGTTGCGATTGCCGTCGGAAGCACTGCCGATGCACGTCGCTCGGGACGGCGATCCGCCACGGGCGGTCGAGCCGAAGAGCTGCCTACGCCTGCATGACGGCTCGATCTCGCTGACGTTGCTTTGGCGCAAGAATCGCGCCACGCCGCTCACGATGACGCGCACGTGCTGGTGCGCGCGCTGTCCATCAACGTGCCCCGTGCACGCGCTGGGGAAATTCTGCGCCGACAGCGCGGCCCAGCAGCCTTTTGCGGGTTTCCGCCCGGACGCTGTCCTATCGGCGTTGAGAGCGGCCCTGCAAGAGCTCGGGGTGCCGCGGCACGATGCCTATCGCACCCGCGATTTTCGTCGGGGCCACGCCCAAGACATGGCGGTGCGTGGCTCGCGGCTGGCCGACATCCTTCGCGCCGGAGATTGGCGGTCCGCCGCCTTCCTGTCATATTTAGACAGGGATGCGCTTGAGGACAGCGCCGTCAGGGAAGCGCACGGCGGCGCTTCGTCCAGCGACGAAGACAAGGTCTGAGGTGGCTGTGAGCCTATAGAACACCTTCGGCGAGAACAGCGTTGGGTTTTCCTCGCGCGCAGGTGCAGCAAGGGCCTTGGGTGTCGCTGCACCCGCGCGCTCCCGCGGGGAGCGGCGAGCGACGAGTGCGCCGCTCGCCCCCCCCCGCGGGCGCGTGCCTACCCAACGCGCAGCGCTCCCCGCGCTCTCCCCCAACCCTCGGGTTTTCCAGGGTAGCGTCTTTTGTGGGCGAGAACACAACGCAGTTTTGTTCGTTGTCACAAAAACGCGGACCTGGGAACCTTCTACCCCTGCCGCCCCGCCGCTGGCGCCGCGGTTCGCCGCGGTGCCTGTGGTGGGGCGGGTTGGGTCGGTTCGGGGGTGCGTTTGGGGTGGCTCGCCTCAGGTCTTCATGGACTTCGTGTTCCTCGTCTTGTTCGTGTTCTTTGTCCACGTCTCCCTGCGGTGGGGGGAGGGTAAATATACCCCCGCGTCGCGCGCGCTGCCCCGAGGGCGCTTGTCGGCCGAACGCGAGGCTGGCGCCCTCGGTGCGCGCGTCGCGGGCCGCCGTGGCGGCATTTGTTTCCCCTCACCCTTCGCCGCTCCTTTGGTTGGGGTGGGGCGCGGGGTGTCGCTGCACCCGCGCGCTCCCGCGGGGAGCGGCGAGCGACGTGTGCGCCGCTCGCCCCCCCCCGCGGGCGCGTGCCTACCCAACGCGCAGCGCTCCCCGCGCTCTCCCCCAACCCTCGGGTTTTCCAGGGTAGCGTCTTTTGTGCGGGGTTTTCCGTGGTCCCCGCAGAAGTCGCGGCGGCTCCGCAGCATTGAACGGGATTCCGTTGCAACCATCCCGCGGAGCACCCCCTCGGGCGGCGCGCCAGGGGGCCGGGGGGGCATTTGTTGGTGGGGGCGGTAGAGGCTCCGCGCAGATCGGCGCGCGCGGGGACAGCGCGTCTGCGTCGCGCCTAGCGGGGGCTTCGGAAAGCAGTTTTCGCAGTGGGATCTCGTGCCGCCAAGGGAGTGGAGCCTCGCTGCGCGATGTGGCGCGTGCTGGTGGCACGCGCGGAGCGGCGCGGCCGCGCCGCCTCGGCGAGGGCCTCGGTGCGCGATTTTCGCGCGGTGGCCTCGCTGCGCGAGCGGCAAGGCGCCGGGGCTCTCAGCGCGGCGTTGGAGTGGTTGTCGGGTCGGAATAACGAAGTTATTGCTTGGCACAAATCCGCCCGCGCTGTGAACGACCCCGCGGCTGGCCGCGGGGGCGCCCTCGCTCGGCTGGTCGGCCGCGCGCTGGTCGACCCTCTTCCGCCTCCCGCTCGCGTCGTGTGGTGCAGTGCCGTGCCGTGCTTCCTCCGCCTGGCACTGGGGCGGGTTATAAATACCGTGCCGTGTGTCGGGTTTCGGCCCTCCGCCCTCTGGGGGCTTCGCTCGGCCCATAGTGGCTTCCTTGCGGCCCATAGTGGCTTCGTTGCGGCCCATAGCGGCCTGCTGCGTTCACGTGCCCAATGGGGCCCTCTCTTCTGGTCCATTGTGACCACGTGCTGTCGTTGGCACGCTCCCATTCGTCACCATGGCGCGCTGGCATGCAAGCGAGCGGGCTTCAGCTGGCGTGGTTCTCGCTCGTGCCCCGTGGCGCTGTGATTGCGATGGCGATGCTTGCCTTCTTGCAGTCTGACCCTGTTGTGGCGCGAAGTGGACTGATATCCAGTTCAAGGGCGCCATTGATTGCCTGGCAGCCAATGGGCTGACGATGCCAGAAGAATTGGCCAATCTTCAATTCGGCGATTTGAAGGATGCCGATGGCGCGACGGCGCTGACGAAGGGCGTCCTGCGGCGCGCTCTGGATCGCGCGACGGTGGCGGCAGCCAAGGCGAGTTCGCCGGGTGCCGCGGGGCCCGCGCCGGCTTCGGCGGGTCGTCTCGGTTCGGTTGCTGCAGAATCCTGGGCTCCCGCCGTAGGGAGAGCATGTCGACATCGGCGCTGGCCTGGCCCAGATCAGCTTGAGGGACCTTCCGGAGTCCCTGTGGCCGAGGCGGCCGCGCGGCTTCGCCCTGCGCGCTGGGCGCGTTTCTGTCGTTTTCGCTCAGGTCACGAAGACTCGATGCTCTGGCCACCCAGGCCCGCGCGCGAAATCCAGAGACGGATCGCGCCGCCCCGTTCATTTATACTGAGCTCGCGAAGTTCCAGCCGCTTTGCGCGCGCGGCGCGGGCGGCTCTCCCGACGATGACGAGCCCGAGTCGAAAGATGCGGCCGCGTTGGCCAGAGCGTTCGGACGGGGAACCGCGGCGGAGAGCCAGCCGCTTCTGGCGTGGACGCAATGGCACCAAGCTTACGACGCGTGGAGCGTGGCGGCCGCGGTCACTGATCAGATTTCGTACACGAGCGCCATGGCTCACAAACACGTTGTTCTCCAGGCGAGTCGACATTGGCGCCCGTCCGCTGGTCGCCAAAGTGGGCGCGCTTGCCCAGGTTGCACTGGATGCCCCCCTGCAGGGACGGAAGGCCCAGGTTGCCTTGGTCTACGACCGCCTTGTGCGGAGGACGTGGGCCGAGCGTGCCGCCGCCGGCGCGGCAGGCTTCCAGGCCGCAGCTCCGCGCCATGCTTCGGCGCGTTTTTCTCGGGCGCGCGTCGGCGCGCAGGTGAACGTTGCGGCGCTGTCGCTTGACGTCGGGCTGCTCCGCGCGGCGGAAGCGGAATACGATCGGGCTCTTAAGGCCGCGTCGCCGAATCCCTTGTTCGCGTTGCGCCACCGCTGTCGCGCAGGTTGCCGCGCCGGCCGGCAAGGGTGCAGGGAAAAGCGCCGCGGCAGCGCGCGGGCAGAGTGCGAGCGCCGCGAGCGCCGCGGGCGCCGTGGGAGCCGCGGGGGGCGCCGCCGTCACTTCCTGGAAGAACGACCGCGATTCCAGAGCCGACGGGTGGCAGTCCCGATCCTATCACGGGGATTACAACAAGCGCTCCTGGGATTCGCGAACGGTGTATTCTCCTCAGAAGAAGCCGCGCGCCTGACGCCCGCCGGAGGCACGCGCAGCCCGCGGCGCGCGGCGATGTGCGGGACGCGCGCCAATGAGGACGTGCATCGCGCGCCACGTTGGCACTTGAATAACAACGAATGGGCGCCAACCTCAGCCACCGTCCCGTGGGACCCGCAGGCGCGCGCGCGCGCGCTGGCAGGAGGGCGCCGCGTTGTTGCCGCGTCGTCCAGGGCTTGGGTGCCAGTCAACACTCGCGGTCCGATCGCGACGCGAGGGCCGCCCGCCCGCTGGGCCAGGAGGCGCGCGAACGCCCCCGGCAGGCTCGAGCGCTCGCGCTCGCAAAGCGCAGGATGCGATGGGGCCCAGTATCGCTGCCACATGGGATTATCAGGCGCTGCGCGTTGTGGCGCGCGACGCTCGCGGGCTCGCGCGCCCGGCAGAATGCTGCCTCGAGTTGCAATGCACGCGGTTGCGCGCTGGCCACTGCCGGCTGCTGTCACCTGCCGTCGCCTGCGTCTGCTGAGGAAGCGCCTAAGCTCGCCTTTCTTGAAGAGGTCCTCTCCCGTTCTCACTCCTTCGAGGACAAAGAGGCCTTTGAAAAGGCCGTGTGGTGCCCGGCGATGTTTTGGCGGCGATCGATTGGATTGCTGCGCGCTCGGAGCGGCAGGTGTGCCGTGAGCGGCGAGCGACTCTCGAGCGAATTCGGGCCAGGGACGCCGAGCTACGCGCCTCTGGAGCGACGGCGGCCTGGTTCGCGGGCTGCGATGCCCATGTGCGCACATTCGCAGGGTCGATCAACGGCCCTCTTCTCGTCGAACTGCTCGACGAAATCGGTTACGAGGACGCGGCCTGCGTGGAAGTCTTTCGGCGCGGCGCGCCTCTCGTGGGCCCTCTCCCGTGCACGGGGAACGGGCGTCCGGAATCTGTCCCTGTACCGCTCAGCCTGCCGGACTTGGCCGCGGGCGCGGAGCGAGGCAACGCCGCGCTGCTCGGCACGCTCAAGGAGTCTAGCGACTCCGCCGTGATTCTCACCAAAACTATCGCCGAAGCGGAGCTCGGCCGAATGAGCCATCCCGCGCCGCTCAGCGCGGTCGAGCTCGACGGTGCGGTTGTGTCGCCGCGGTTCGGCGTCCGGCAGTCGAGAGAGGACGGGTCCGAGAAGCTGCGGCTCGTAGATGATATGTCGCGCTCTCGTATCAACGCGGCGTCGCAGCCGACGGAGCGTCTCGGCCATGAAGCCATCGACGCTCTGTTTGGCACTTGCAAGGCAGTTGTGACGCGCGTGGGCGAAGCGCCCGGGCTCTGGAAGGCGGACATAGACGCCGCGTTCCGGCGCTTGCCGCTGTTGCCGGAACATCGCGCCTTCGCATGGGTCGCGTTCCTCGTGGGCACATGCGTCTACGTGGCCCAGCACTTCGCCGCCCCATTCGGAGCGACTTCCTCCGTTCACAGCTGGGAGCGCATCGGCGCGATGCTGTCAGCGCTGGGCCGCAGGCTCATTTTCGGTCCCGTCCTCAGATATGTGGACGACTTCTTCTGCCCCGAACGTAAGAAAGGGCTGCGCGACGCAATGCGACAGTTCGCCGAACTGGTAAGAATCATTCTGGGCCCGAGCGCTGTGGCCGACGGTAAGCTGCTGTTCGGCAATCCGCTCGGGGTCCTGGGCTTGTCTGTGGCGATTGACGAGCGTGGCCTCGTGTGCTGGCCGCTGCCGGAGAAGCGCGCCCGGTGGCGCGCCGAGATCGCTGCTGCTCTTCAAGAGGGCGCGCTCGAGCGCGGGCGCGCGTCCAAGTTGGCAGGCCGCTTCTGTTGGGCTGCCTCCCACACCTTCGGGCGGTTCGGGCGCGCGCTGCTCCCGCCGTTGTTTGAGCACGCAAGGGCGCGCCATCCTAGGATCCCGGCGCACCTGCGAGTCTGCCTGCAATGGTGGCACGAAGCGCTCGCCAGAAATTTCACCACGACGCGGGAGTGGCAGGCGCCAGACACCAGGTCTGTCCAATTGCTCTCCGACGCGCGTGGGAATCCAGCTAGAGTGGCCGCGGTTCTTTTCATTGACGGGCGCATTGTCTTCACCGATGTCGCCCCGCCTGAGCCTCTGCTTCGGCTCTTCAGGGAAAGGCGTGACAATCTAATCGGCGGTCTGGAGGTGCTCAGCATCGCGCTGGGCCTGGCCACCTTTGAGCCGCTCCTGTCGGGCCGATGCGTGAACATCTTTTCTGATAATTCAGGCAGCGAGTGGGCTGTCCGGTCCGGTGCGGCGAAGCAGTTTGACCACAATTGCCTGGTCCACTCAATCTGGCGCATGGCGCTGGATGCGAATTGCAATCTGCACGTTCAGCGTGTGGCGTCGGTGGACAACATCGCCGACCTGCCGTCGCGCGAGTCATATTCCCTGCTGTATCGCTGGGGGGCGGAGTGGATTCCTCCGGTGCTGGACGATGCCTGGTTCGATCCGAGCGCGTGGCTTCCTCATCGCCGGCCATGACCGGCTCGGGCGCTGGGCGTGAGTGCAATGGATCTGGCCTTCACTCATCGGTCAGGGTGCGCCCGCCAGGTCGGGCAGGGGTTGGCGTCCTCCCTCGCGCACGTCGCGGTCGCGCTTCGCCTGTGGGCGCGCGAGGGCATCTCTGGTTGTCGGCGCACCTGGAGAATGTCATCGGTGTTCGCGCGATGGCGCTGGCTGGATTGCTCGCTCAGCTTCGCGCGGTTTGCCCTGAGGCACGCCCTCTTCCTGTGTTCGCCGCTGCCGAGCTGCTTGCCGATAACGGCGCCGACGCCGTGAGCGATTTGGTTGGCGTCACCCTGGCAGACTTCAGGGGCGCCGCGGCATTATCTTGCGACGCCCGCGAGGTGGTCCGCGCGGCTATCGCGGCAGCCAAGCGCGGCGGCGCGCCAGCCGCGCTGGGCAGGGGCAGCGCGGGCGCTTCTCCTGCGCCCGCCCCGTCGCCCGGGATTGCCCCCAGGTCTGCTTGCGCGTTCCGCGTTCGTCGCGGGCCCCCCCCTTGTCGGCCGTCGCAGGACCGACATCGCGACTCGGTCGCCCTCGAGCGAATCCGTCTCGTCATCCTCCACGGTGCGCGCGCGAAATTGCGGCATGTCGCTCGCAGCGCTAAACGCGGGCGCCAGGACAGCGGCTGGGCGCATGCAGCTCCCCCGGAGGACCCCGTGTCCGCGGTCCGGTTGGCGCTCTCAGTCGCTGGGCGCGAGGGTCGGCGTGACATGCGCGGGCCGCGGGCCGAAGCTGCTCGGGCCAGAGCCCTCATCACCTCCTCGGCGGCCGGGAAAGCGTGGGCGCGCAGGGCCCGGGTGAGCGCTCTCCTGGGCGCATGCCCGCGCTCATTGCCCGCGCTCAGCAGCGGGTTCGAGTGCTGGGTTACATTCGCAAGGGGCGTCTAAAAGCGACGGGGGAAGGAACTGCCGCCCACCCTGGAGGGGCTGCTTCTGTGGTCCACGACCTTCAGGTGCGCCGGGACCTTCAGCAATTATGTGACTTACGTGAAGACGGCGTGCCTCGTGGCATGCCGGCGCGCGCCCGCCTCTCATCTTCCGGCAACGCGCGCGTCCGCCCGCGGCGGCAGTTGGCGCGCAAGGCCCGTGGAAGTCTTCAGGCACCCGGCGGTTCGCGCCGCTAAGAACGCCATCGAGAAGCGTTCGGGCTGGCAGGCGAAGGCGCGCATGCCCTTCAGGGCCGCGACGTCGCCCGTCTGGTGTCGCACCTGCGCGTCAGTGACGAGGGTCGCCGTTTCGCCATGTTGTGCCTGGCGGCCTACGCATTCCTCCTTCGGCTACCCTCGGAGGCCCTGCCCGCGGTGCGGGTTGAAGATGGCGCGGCCGCAGCTTGCGTGACCTCCGCGTTCGTCGTCGGCGATCAGAAGATCGAGCTGCACCTCTCCAGGAGAAAGAACCGCGAGAGCCGCTCGGTGATGGCACGGCAGTGCTGGTGCGACGAGTGCGCGGTCACCTGTCCCGTACACGTTCTGGGGGCCTGGCTAGTTGGCGAGCCAGCTCATCAGCCCATCTGGGCTGCGTGGTCCCCAGGCGCGGCACGTGCACGGCTGCGCCGCGCGCTGGGCGAAATGGGGCGCCACGACGCGGAATCATTCGGCACTCACGCGTTCAGGCGCGGGCACGCGCAGGACATCGCTGCCAGGGGCGGACCGGTCACCGACCTTCTTCGCGCGGGCGGCTGGCATCAGCCCGCGTGGATGAAATACCTTAACGTTTCCCGGCACCCCCAGGGCGGGTAGGGCGGGCCAACGACAGCACGTGGTCACTATGGACCAGAAGAGAGGGCCCCATTGGGCACGTGAACGCAGCGGGCCGCTATGGGCCGCAACGAAGCCACTATGGGCCGCAAGGAAGCCACTATGGGCCGAGCGAAGCCCCCAGAGGGCGGAGGGCCGAAACCCGACACACGGCACGGTATTTATATCCCGCCCCAGTGCCAGGCGGAGGAAGCACGGCACGGCACTGCAACACACGGACGCGAGCGGAGGCAGGAAGAGTGTCGACCAGCGCGCGTCCGACAGCGAGCGAGGGCGCCCCCCCGCGGCCCAGCCGCGGGGTCGTTCACAGCGCGGGCGGATTTGTGCCAAGCAATAACTCCGTTATTCCGACCCCACAAATCCTGGCGCTTGCACTCGCCTCGCTCGGCCCTGGGGGGGGGGGAGGAGGAAGCCTCCCCCAGGAGCGGAGGGTGCGGACCCGACCCATCTGCCCCGCAGCGCGCGGCCTCTCCGAGGCCAAGCGGGCAGACGCCGGTCGGGCCCGTGGGGGAGCACCACCCACTGCAACGGCGCTCCCGCGGGCCACGCCCGGCGCTGCCACCCCCTGCCCCCGCGTGCCGGGGGTGCGCCCACGTGTGTGCCGTGCAGACACGACCACCAGACTGCGCGGGGTGCTCAGCCATCGCCATCGTCGCTGGACGACTCTGCCAAATGGGCTTCCGCGACCGACTGCCGCTCGAGCCGGGAGACGGTAAGGTATTTCATCCACGCGGGGCTGATGCCAGCCTCTCGGCCGGCCGCGCGGGGAGCACCGTTTGACCGGTCCGCCTTGGCACTGGTGTCCCTGCGCGTGCCCGCCGCCTGAAACGCGTGAGTGCCGATGAATTCCGCGTCGTGGCGCCCCAGTTCGCCCAGCGCGCGGCGCAGCCGAGCACGTGCCGCGCCTGGGGACCACGCAGCCCAGATGGGCTGATGAGCTGGCTCGCCAACTAGCCAGGCCCCAAGAACGTGTACGGGACAGGTGACCGCGCACTCGTCGCACCAGCACTGCCGTGCCATCTCCGAGCGGCTCTCGCGGTTCTTTCTCCTGGAGAGGTGCAGCTCGATCTTCTGATCGCCGACGACGAACGCGGAGGCCACGCAAGCTGCGGCCGCGCCAACTTCAACCCGCACCGCGGGCAGGGCCTCCGAGGGTAGCCGAAGGAGGAATGCGTAGGCCGCCAGGCACAACATGGCGGACTGACAATGGCATGTTGCTCACCCCGCGCAGTTTGCGACACCGCCCGGGCGACGTCGCGGCCCTGATGGCCTGCGCGCCTTCGCCTGCCACCCGAACGCAACAGCATGGCGTTCTTAGCGGCGCGAACCGCCGGGTGCCTGAAGACTTCCACTGGCCTTGCGCGCCAACTGCCGCCGCGGGCGGACGCGCGCGTTGCCGGAAGATGAGAGGCGGGCGCGCGCCGGCATGCCACGAGGCACGCCTTCTTCACGTAAGTCACATAATGGCTGAAGGTCCCGGCGCACCTGAAGGTCGTGGACCACAGAAGCAGCCCCTCCAGGGTGGGCGGCAGTTCCTTCCCCCGTCGCTTTAAGACGCCCCTTGCGAATGTAACCCAGCACTCGAACCCGCTGCTGAGCGCGGGCAATGAGCGCGGGCATGCGCCCAGGAGAGCGCTCACCCGGGCCCTGCGCGCCCACGCTTTACCGGCCGCCGGGAGGTGATGAGGGCTCTGGCCCGAGCAGCTTCGGCCCGCGGCCCGCGCATGTCACGCCGACCCTCGCGCCCAGCGACTGAGAGCGCCCACCGGACCGCGGACACGGGGTCCTCCGGGGGAGCTGCATGCGCCCTGCCGCTGTCCTGGCGCCCGCGTTTAGCGCAGCGAGCGACATGCCGCAATTTCGCGCGCGCACCGTGGAGGATGACGAGACGGATTCGCTCGAGGGCGACCGCGTCGCGATGTCGGTCCTGCGACGGCCGACAAGGGGGGGCCCGCGACGAACGCGGAACGCGCAAGCAGACCTGGGGGCAATCCCGGGCGACGGGGCGGGCGCAGGAGAAGCGCCCGCGCTGCCCCTGCCCAGCGCGGCTGGCGCGCCGCCGCGCTGGGCTGCCGCGATAGCCGCGCGGACCACCTCGCGGGCGTCGCAAGATAATGCCGCGGCGCCCCTGAAGTCTGCCAGGGTGACGCCAACCAAATCGCTCACGGCGTCGGCGCCGTTATCGGCAAGCAGCTCGGCAGCGGCGAACACAGGAAGAGGGCGTGCCCCAGGGCAAACCGCGCGAAGCTGAGCGAGCAATCCAGCCAGCGCCATCGCGCGAACACCGATGACATTCTCCAGGTGCGCCGACAAACCAGAGATGCCCTCGCGCGCCCACAGGCGAAGCGCGACCGCGACGTGCGCGAGGGAGGACGCCAACCCCTGCCCGACCTGGCGGGCGCACCCTGACCGAGGAGTGAAGGCCAGATCCATTGCACGCACGCCCAGCGCCCGAGCCGGTCATGGCCGGCGATGAGGAAGCCACGCGCTCGGATCGAACCAGGCATCGTCCAGCACCGGAGGAATCCACTCTGCCCCCAAGCGATACAGCAGGGAATATGACTCGCGCGACGGCAGGTCGGCGATGTTGTCCACCGACGCCACACGCTGAACGTGCAGATTGCAATTCGCATCCAGCGCCATGCGCCAGATTGAGTGGACCAGGCTATTGTGGTCAAACTGCTTCGCCGCACCGGACCGGACGGCCCACTCGCTGCCTGAATTATCCGAAAAGATGTTCACGCATCGGCCCGACAGGAGCGGCTCAAAGGTGGCCAGGCCCAGCGCGATGCTGAGCACCTCAGACCGCCGATTTGATTGTCGCGCCTTTCCCTGAAGAGCCGAAGCAGAGGCACAGGCGGGGCGACATCGGTGAAGACAATGCGCCCGTCAATGAAAAGAACCGCGGCCACTCCTAGCTGGATTCACCCGCTCGTCGGAGACCATTGACAGACCTGCCGTCTGGCGCCTGCCCTCTCGCGGTCGTGGTGAAATTTCTGTCGAGCGCTTCGTGCCACCAATTGCAGGCAGAAACCTCGCGGTGCGCCGGGATAACTAGGAGATGGCGCGCCTTTGCGTGCTCAAACAACGGCGGGAGCACGCGCGCCCGAACCGCCCGAAGGTGTGGGAGCCCAAGCCCAACAGAAGCGGCCTGCCAACTTGGACGCGCGCCCGCGCTCGAGCGCGCCCTCTTGAAGAGCAGCAGCGATCTCGGCGCGCCACCGGGCGCGCTTCTCCGGCGGCGGCCAGCACACGAGGCCACGCTCGTCAATCGCCACAGACAAGCCCAGGACCCCGAGCGGATTGCCGAACAGCAGCTTACCGTCGGCCACAGCGCTCGGGCCCAGAATGATTCTTACCAGTTCGGCGAACTGTCGCATTGCGTCGCGCAGCCCTTTCTTACGTTCGGGGCAGAAGAAGTCGTCCACATATCTGAGGACGGGGACGAAAATGAGCCTGCGGCCCAGCGCTGACAGCATCGCGCCGATGCGCTCCCAGCTGTGAACGGAGGAAGTCGCTCCGAGTGGGGCGGCGAAGTGCTGAGCCACGTAGACGCATGTGCCCACGAGGAACGCGACCCATGCGAGGGCGCGATGTTCCGGCAACAGCGGCACGCGCCGGAACGCGGCGTCTATGTCCGCCTTCCAGAGCCCGGGCGCTTCGCCCACGCGCGTCACAAATGCCTTGCAAGTGCCAAACAGAGCGTCGATGGCTTCATGGCCGAGACGCTCCGTCGGCTGCGACGCCGCGTTGATACGAGAGCGAGACATATCATCTACGAGCCGCAGCTTCTCGGACCCGTCCTCTCTCGACTGCCGGACGCCGAACCGCGGCGACAAAACCGCACCGTCGAGCTCGACCGCGCTGAGCGGCGTGGGATGGCTCATTCGGCCGAGCTCCGCTTCGGCGATAGTTTTGGTGAGAATCACGGCGGAGTCGCTAGACTCCTTGAGCGTGCCGAGCAGCGCGGCGTTGCCTCGCTCCGCGCCCGCGGCAAAGTCCGGCAGGCTGAGCGGTACAGGGAAAGATTCCGGACGCCCGTTCCCCGTGCACGGGAGAGGGCCCACGAGAGGCGCGCCGCGCCGAAAGACTTCCACGCAGGCCGCGTCCTCGTAACCGATTTCGTCGAGCAGTTCGACGAGAAGAGGGCCGTTGATCGATCCTGCGATTGTGCGCACATGGGCATCGCAGCCCGCGAACCAGGCCGCCGTCGCTCCAGAGGCGCGTAGCTCGGCGTCCCTGGCCCGAATTCGCTCGAGAGTCGCTCGCCGCTCACGGCACACCTGCCGCTCCGAGCGCGCAGCAATCCAATCGATCGCCGCCAAAACATCGCCGGGCACCACCACGGCCTTTTCAAAGGCCTCTTTGTCCTCGAAGGAGTGAGAACGGGAGAGGACCTCTACAAGAAAGGCGAGCTTAGGCGCTTCCTCAGCAGACGCAGGCGACGGCAGGTGACAGCAGCCGGCAGTGGCCAGCGCGCAACCGCGTGCATTGCAACTCGAGGCAGCATTCTGCCGGGCGCGCGAGCCCGCGAGCGTCGCGTGCCACAACGCGCAGCGCCTGATAATCCCATGTGGCAGCGATACTGGGCCCCATCGCATCCTGCCACTAGGGCTATCCGAGCGCTGAGCCTGCCGGGGGGGGGGCTTCGCTAACGCGCCTCCCGTCACCTTTCCACGGGATTGACCGTCAATTTGAACTTTTTGCTGTTTGACTGGCCCAACAAGTGGTAAGGAAAGACCCCCTGGTTAGTCGCCCTCCTGCCAGCGCGCGCGCGCGCGCCTGCGGGTCCCACGGGACGGTGGCTGAGGTTGGCGCCCATTCGTTGTTATTCACGTGCCAACGTGGCGCGCGATGCACGTCCTCATCGGCGCGCGTCCCGCACATCGCCGCGCGCCGCGGGCTGCGCGTGCCTCCGGCGGGCGTCAGGCGCGCGGCTTCTTCTGAGGAGAATACACCGTTCGCGAATCCCAGGAGCGCTTGTTGTAATCCCCGCGATAGGATCGGGACTGCCACCCGTCGGCTCTGGAATCGCGGTCGTTCTTCCAGGAGTGACGGCGGCGCCCCCCGCGGCTCCCACGGCGCCCGCGGCGCTCGCGGCGCTCGCACTCTGCCCGCGCGCTGCCGCGGCGCTTTTCCCTGCACCCTTGCCGGCCGGCGCGGCAACCTGCGCGACAGCGGTGGCGCAACGCAACGCAAGTGAAGGGCATTCGGCGACGCGGCCATAAGAGCCCGATCATATTCCGCTTCCCCGCCGACGCGGGCAGCCCGACGTCAAGCGCCAGCGCCGCAACCGTTCGGCAGCCCGCGCTGCGCGCCGACGCGCGCCCGAGAATAACGCGCCGAAGCATGGCGCGGAGCTGCGGCCTGGAAGCCTGCCGCGCCGGCGGCGGCACGCTCGGCCCACGTCCTCCGCACAAGGCGGTTGTAGACCAAGGCAACCTGGGCCTTCCGTCCCTGCAGGGGGGCATCCAGTGCAACCTGGGCAAGCGCGCCCACTTCGGCGACCAGCGGACGGGCGCCAATGTCGACTCGCCTGGAGAACAACGTGTTTGTGAGACATGGCGCTCGTGTACGAAATCTGATCAGTGACCGCGGCCGCCACGCTCCACGCGTCGTAAGCTTGGTGCCATGGCGTCCACGCCAGAAGCGGCTGGCTCTCCGCCGCGGTTCCCCGTCCGAACGCTCTGGCCAACGCGGCCGCCTCTTTCGCCTCGGGCTCGTCATCGTCGGGAGAGCCGCCCGCGCCGCGCGCGCAAAGCGGCTGGAACTTCGCGAGCTCAGTATAAATGAACGGGCGCGCGATTCCCCGGGATTTCGCGCGCTGCACCTCGGTGGCCAGCGCATCGGTCTTCGCTGACCTGAGCGAACGATGGAAACGCGCCAGCGCGCCGGGGCGAAGCCGCGCGGCAGCCTCGGCCACAGGGACTCCGGAAGGTCCCTCAAGCTGATCTGGGCCAGGCCAGCGCCGATGTCGACATGCTCTCCCTTCGGCGGGGGCCCAGGATTCTGCAGCAACCGAACCGAAACGACCCGCCGAAGCCGGCGCGGGCCCCGCGGCACCCGGCGCACTCGCCTTGGCTGCCGCCACCGTCGCGCGATCCAGAGCGCGCCGCAGGACGCCCTTCGTCAGCGCCGTCGCGCCA